CCCCGCCACAGAGGCCTCTTTCTCCCCCTCCATCCCTCACAAAGAGCTCGCTCCCTCTGCCATCTCCAACAGGGGGCTCTCTCCCTCTCTCTTCCCCAGCACTACCCCTCAGAGGGGGCTTGTTCCACCCCCACCTCACAAGGTGCTCTCTCTTCCCCCACCCCCCGAGTCACAGGGGGGCTCTCCCTCTCCCCCCTCACTCACAGGGAGCTCTCCCACTCTCCACCCCACCCCTCTCACAAGGGGATCTCCCTCTTCCCCCCATCACTCACTAGGGGCTCTCTCTCTCCCTCCCTCCCTCCCTCTCTCACATTGCCCCACACCCCCCAACAGAGGGCTCTTTCTCCCCCTCTGCCCCTCACAAGGGGCTCGCTCTCTCTACCACCTCCAACAGAGGGCTCTCTCCCTCTCCCTCCCTCCTCCCCAGCACTACCCCTCAGAGGGGGCTTGTTCCACCCCCACCTCTCAGGGTGCTTTCTCTCTCTTTCCTCCCCCCACCCTCCCCCTCACAGAGGGCACTCTCACTCCCCCCTCCCAGGGGGGTCCTTTCCCTCCCACCCCAGACGAGGAGCTGAAATAGGACGTACCCAGTCAGCTGTGCAGAAGTTAACAGCCTCAGCAAAGTTGTAGCCCTGGTTGAATCCGCTGTGGTAGGCCCTGGGGAAGGTGATGACAAACTCTCCGGCACATTGGTTAGTCCGCACCACCTGAAAGAGGGTGGCAAATCACAGCATGAGGTTAGATACAGAGTCAAGCTTCCTCTACACTGTCCCCCCATCAAACAGCCCCAGGGACAGGGACAGCACCGGGTTAGATACAGAGTCAAGCTCCCTCTACACTGTGCCCTATCAAATGCTCCCAGGGACAGGGACAGGGACAGGGACAGGGACAGCACCGGGTTAGATACAGAGTGAAGCTCCCTCTACACCGTCCCCCGATCAAACACTCCCAGGGACAGCATGGGGTTAGATACAGAGTCAAGCTCCCTCTACACCGTCCCCCCATCAAACCCTCCCAGGGACAGGGACAGCATGGGGTTAGATACAGAGTAAAGCTCCCTCTACACTGTCCCCCATCAAACCCTCCCAGGGACAGGGACAGCACTGGGTTAGATACAGAGTCAAGCTCACTCTACACTGTCCCCCCATCAAACCCTCCCAGGGACAGGGACACAGCGCAATGCTATCCTGGGAGGGTGGGGGAGCGTTGGAGACTGAGAGCTGTCACTTACCGGTACTCCATGGGACATGAGAATGTTGGGGTTCATGATGGTGACCAGCTGGTGGAGAAGGTCAGGCTGGCTCTCAAACAGCTCTGGGGTCAGCTTCTTCATCACAGCCTCCAGCTGCTCGGCTGCATATGAGGGAACACCATACCACGTCTTGGGCTCACCCCTGGGCGGGGGACACAACACACACAGGGAGATGATACACCATCGCTCCCTCCCTACCTCCCCCCTCACTGAGGAGGGGGCCACTCATTCACAGCAAGATCCATTACAAAGAAAAGGTAATAACTTTGTACATTAACAGAAAAGCAGACCGTTCAGCCCCTCTCTGCTGATGTTCCTGCCTTACGCCAAACTAACCCCACTCTTCCCCATTTCCCTCCATCCCTCTCTCCTTCACGTACTTATCCTGTTCCTATCCCTCTGCCAACCCCTAACCATTATTCCCATCGGAGGCAACCCACTAGAGCCAGTCCCCGTTCTCCCCTCCCCTGTCTGCCTCACCCCCTCTCTCCCCAAGGGAGCGAAACCCCCGTTCGGTATTCCCATCAGGTTGTGGAGATCGGGGGCACGCGCGGCGTTCCCGGCGGGAGACCGGGGGCGCGCGCGGCGTTCCCGGCGGGAGACCGGGGGATCAGGAGCGCGCGGTGTTCCCAGCGGGATATGGAAACTGGGACTCTCACTAAATGCCCTGCAGAGTCTCTAACACCGGGCCCAGTGCAGTTGTAGCTTCCCCTTGACAATGAGACTTACCAGTGCAGGTAGTTGATGGAATAGCTCCAGTGATCCTCTATGTGCCAGCAGAATGCAGCAAAGCACATGCCCACATACAGCCAGGGCACCTTCATCCCGGAGATATCAGCATTGATGTGGCACAGCACTGACTGGTCAAGGACGGGCATCACGTTGAGGTTCCAGCCACACTCTGTGTACTGCTGCAGTGGGGGAGGGTGCGGGCGATGTAAAATAACACAGAGAAACACAAGTCTGAACAGACAGCTACCAATCCGGACCTAGAGGCCACTCGGCCTCTCGAGCCTGCCTAGCTCCTGATCCCGTTACAACACGCTTCCCTCACCACCACCATCGCCCCCACCACCCCCCCACCCCACGTGAACCTCTCGTCCCCACCCCTTGCCTTGCTCATAAAGCCAGAGTCATACAGCGTGGAAACAGACCCTTCGGCCCAACCAGTCCGTGCCGACCATAATCCCAAACTAAACTAGTCCCAGCTGCCTGTTCCTGGCCCATATCCCTCCAAACCTTTCCTGTCCATGTACTTATCCAAACAGCTTTTAAACATTATAACTGTACCCACATCCACTACTTCCTCTGTCAGTTCATTTCACACACAAACCACCATCTTGTGTAAAAGATTTGTCCCTCGTGCCTTTTTAAAATCTCTCTCCTCTCACCTTAACAATGTATCCCCTTATCTTAAAATCCGCCATCCTTGTGAAAAGACACCTACCACTAACTCTCTCTATATCTCTCATTATTTTATAAACTTCTATCTGGTCTCCTGTCAACCTCCTACACTCCCGTGGAGAGTCCCAGCCTTTACAACTCAAACATTCCATACCCAGCAACATCTAATCTCTCCACCTTCAAAATATTCAATAGCTCTGCTTCCGCCTCCTTATCAGGAAGCGTATTCCAAAGATTCACAACCTGCGAGGAAACTTTCTTTTTGCTTTAAATGGTCCACCCCCGTCCTTTAGAGCAGTGGCCCCTTTCCCAGATTCTCCCACATCCCACACTCCCTCTCAGGACAGATGAGCTCAACGCTTGCAGCAAAGCCAATCACCACCAGATGGCAGTGCCTCACCACAATTCAGGCCAGAAACCACAGTCCACCTCCAGAACAAAAGCCCGGGGCCCAGCGCTCACTCTCACTCTCACCTCACCAGGCACAAGGGGCATGAGTCAGACAAACAAAAGCACCAGGGAGCAAACACGGCAAAACATTGGTCAATGCACTGCGTATAGGAGTTGGGAGGGTCATGTTGCGGCCGTACAGGACATTGGTGAGGCCACTTTTGGAATACGGTGTTCAACTCTGGTCACCCTGCTGTAGGAAGTACCTTGTGAAACTTGAAAGGGTTCAGAAAAGATTTACAACGACGTTGCTTGGATTGGAGGGTTTGAGCTACAGGGAGAGGCTGGGGCTGTATTCCCTGGAGTGCCGGAGGCTGGGGAGTTACCTTATAGAGGCCTATAAAATCATGAAGGGCAAGGATCGTGTAAATAGCCAAGATCTTTTCCCCAGGGGTAGGGGAGTCCAAAACTAGAGGGGCACAGGTTTAAGGTGAGAGGGGGAACGATTTATTAGGGACCTAAGGGACAACCTTTTCACACAGAGGGTGGTGCGTGCACGGAACGAGCTGCCAGAGGAAGTGGAGGAGGCTGGTACAATTACACATTTAAAAGGCATCTGGATGGGTATGTGAGTAGGAAGGGTTTGGAGGGATATGGGCCAAATGCTGGCAAATGGGACTGGGTTAATTTACAATATCTGGGTCAGCACGGACAGGTTGGACCGAAGGGTCTGTTTCTGTGCTGTACAGACTCTAAGTGCTGGAAGGAAGACTTTGGGAGACACACACACACACACACACAGAGACTCAAAGCTTTAACTGTTTCTCTCTACACAGACAGTGCAGGACCCACTGAGATTCTCCAGTGTTCAGAGCTCCCATTTCGGATTTCCAGCGCTCAGTGGAATTTTTACTTCTGTACCAGGGACACGCTCACGTCGGAGAGACTGGGACCTCACTCCCCTTGCAGCGGAGGGGGTTCGAAATTGCGATGGGTTTTCCATCGGACAGTGGATGGAGGGGGAGCTGCTCCTCTCAGCAGAGGGATTACCGTCGCTCCCATCCCTCCCTCATTGCTCTGTCACACCCACCCCCAACCCCGCACCCCGCGCCCCCGCCCCCGCCCCCCCTCCTCCCCGAGTGTCGTGCCGACTGACTGACCTCCTCCTCCGGGGCGAGCTGCCTTTTACCACCTTTGTTCGGGAAGCCGCTGCCAAACTCCTTGGAGTGAATATCCGCTCCGTACTCCACAGTAACATCCTCCTCAATACTGCTGACCAACCGCCAGAACTCCTTCTCCACCAGCTCCGTCGGCACCATCTACAGCAACAGGCAGGGTCAGGCAGGGGGCAGAGAGAGAGAGAGAGAGAGCGGGCAGGGGCAGAGAGGGGGGAGGAGGCAGAGAGGAGGGGACAGAGACAGAGAGGGGCGAGGGGGGAGG